TTTAGATTTGGAGGCGGGATGCTTCGTATGTTAGGTGCGTGTTTGCCTGGTAGAGCTGAATGGTTTGGTTGGTTGGTTAAGTTATGTTAGCTCTTCCCCAGAACTGCGTACGTAGTTCTCTTCTTGATTGTGAACAGACCTCTTCAACTCCACAGAACAGTTCAAATTCATGGATCCCAACTTCACTCACTCGCCTCCACAGTGACTTGCCTAGCTTCCTCACTTGAGCCTTTTTCTCCAGGAATTCAAGTCTATTCTGGATGACTACGAGGTGAAGATTTGGTTGGCTGCCATGGATTTGGACGTGAGCGACGTTGAGGAGCTTTTTTTCATGTTGGATGATGGCGGTGTGCCTCGGCAGTGGGGCGGTGAAGGGTGCCTCATGACTCCAACAAGTCATTTGAGCATCTCAACGGCCATCATACAGCTTTCTTTACATTTGGTCTTCAAACTTCCACTGTAAGGCTCAACCGCTCAACCAGGCACTATTTTGACCGTGAGTTTGCGTTGGAGTTTTCGCCACCCGATCCTCAGGTCCGGGAAGCAGGAGTTCATGGCTTTGTTGGCTTTGTCCCTATGTCGCTTTAATGTTCCCGAATTATGGATTTTTCGTAGTTTCTCCAAAAGCTAGGCCTCACTTGTCTTCTACAATGCTTTATTGCTAGGGTTAATTGCTTAGAAGAATCCTGCAACTCCCCAAACAAGCCCCGAGGTCGTGGTTCCCGCCCAGTCTTTCGCCCTGCCGAGGATGGACGTTTGTCCGCCGAGGAGCTGGTGAAGGGCGTGGCGAAGCTCCGTGGCGCGGCGCGAGCGATGGACCTGCGGAAGATCCATCGCTTGAGCAGCGATCTTCAAGAGGGTCAGGGGAACCTGGAGGGAGCTTGGAGATTCAGAGGGTTGGGAGTGCAGCTTGTTGGAGGGAACGCTGTTGCTGAAAGCCAGAAGATAGCAAAAAGCGGGCAGGAGTTGTAATGGTATGGGCATGTATGGGCTAGCTCTGACAGGTGCCACTTACAGTCACTTGAAGAAATCAGCGTTTGCGTCAATTTGATATTGAAGAATCGACAATGTCATTGTATATATATAATATTGTATATTTTATATAAGACCAATTGGTTGTCCAATGAAGAAGGGATCTCGCAACAATTACCCAGATTTTGCACAACCGAAAGCAACCAACCCTACTACTGACACTCGGTTCATGGAAAACTTAGTTTGCGACAAACATCCAAGACTGAACACAGGGAAGGGCGAACCCTATCTAATTTTGGCACGGGGCACAGCAATTGATGTTTGCCACAAATCATTCAACTTTTGAAGGAAAGCACCGTTTGGAGGGCCTATTTGTTGGCCTGGCAGGTCTGACAGCTATGGCGAAGAGCCAGGAGGCCAAAGATCTCAAGAAGCTTGGACTACTGTTATTAGAATATTAATAGACCGTTGTAATATACTGTAATCACTGCTAGGGGGTTACCGTGACTTACCGGATTCTCATAGAAACCGAAGGCACAACAGTATATGACAGTACCCTGTGCACTGTGGGCAGATCAGTGTTGCTAGTTGTATAGGCGTACGTTTGCTTTTGACACTGATTGTACCCAGTACAAAGCAGACATAGAAACAAAGACCCGAACATGGTCCTTCAAGTGCTCGAGTTACATTGAAGCTGTCGCAGCCTGTGGAAGACACTGCAAAGGCAGAAGGGTCATTTCAGACTAGAGCTGTGCTTGCGAGTGTTGCCACTAGGACCACCCCAAATCGTTTTGCAAGGTCCATGAAAAGCTAGTACTGCTCAGCCACTGAGGAAACTCCTCCAACGCAAGGAGGATACCATTTCTGTCTGAGCTGCCATTCCCTTAGGCACCTGACCAAGGGAGGTGTTCTGCGGATGTTAGCAAAGCACCAGGACCAAGATAGGGCAAGGAGGTCTGCAAGTAGTAGTACAAAACCAAACCTATGAAAGTATTAGTACAAAACCAAACTTAGTAAATGCATCATGTACTTTCAAGTTGGGGAGATGTTCATATGTTTGATGATGGACCTTCATGGCTTTGTCTGCCATCATGTTCAGTTGCCCGTTACCAGGTGAAACAGATTTGGATTTCTCAGACTTCCGGTGGACTGCTTTTCAACTTGGTTTCCTCAGCCGATTTTTCTGTCTTGCGACATAGTTGCCTGCTCAGGGCTTCAGAAGCCGGAAGCTAGTTGCTCCTCCGACAGGCCACAGATGAACGACCTTGCATCCAAATGCTATGCTTCATAAATATTTGGCCTTCCTCTATCCAGAGCCTTTCCTCGGAGAGCAACTCTTTGTTCGTGGTCTACGTGTGTCGACACCCAAAAGGGCCTCCAGCCACGTGCCCACGTGCGGCAACAAGCCCCCGAAGGGGGTGGATTTCACTGAGGGTCATGGGTGAGGGTGTGATTTGTCGGGTTGAAAGAGTACCTTAAAGCCTTAAAGTAAAGCCGCTGAAATGCTTATACATACTGTATGTACTTATAAAGTATCGTTGAACACAGTAAATTTGGAGGGAGTGTTTTTTTTGTTTTGCGGACTGTAAGGACCAATTGCAAGTCCATACCAAGGCCAGAAGCTTGATTGACCTTTGGGTCTAGGCTGTATTGAATGAGAACTTGATAGAGCTTGTGTGTTGGGGTCAAAGGCTGGCAAGTGTTTTCATCGATTGCGAACCAGGAAGTGGCTCAAGAAATGTCACTGGAATCAACGCAAGAAGCTATATATCTACTGTGTAAAAATATAATATATATATATATACACACCATTTTTGCGCAGTTTGCAAGTAACTATTTCAAGGAATTGCTTGGTGGACCCCCTTTCGTGGAAGATATGGCCAGATGTTCAGCAGCAAACAAGATTGTTGATCGAGCGGCACGGCACTGCTGACGTTGATCCTCGACCATAGAGTGCAGCCGATTGCTGCTTATTGTGATCCGTGTGTGTGACATGGATCCCTGACCTCATGGGGGTGAAGCAGAGAGAATAGAGTATGGTCAGGTTCCATCTTGGACAGCAAGTACAAGTGTCCTCAATTATGAACTTCCAAAAAAAGTCGTGCAAATAGTGTGTTTTCGTCGATTCGTAGGAAAGTCTCAAGGATCTTGAAGTCTCATGGCCTAGTGGGTGGCTAAAGTCTGTTGCGGTAAAAGGCAAAGTAGCATGAAGTGGCAGGGGTTTTGTTTGTTGGACACCCTGCTAGGAGCGCTAGTCGCACGGAGGGATGTGAATCTGAACGGCTCAAGAATAAGTTGGGAATTCATAGACACTGGAAATCGTCCTTCCCTTCAAGAACTTCCAAGCGCATCCAAGAAGAGTACCGTGGCAACGGGACAAAGACTTAAAACTTTGGACTAACTTAGGTGGGTTCCGGGTTGGAAGTTGATTTGTACTTGGAAATACAACCACAACATGTTGGAACCTCTTACGTATTAGTTTCCTTAGATAATTATCCTGTCGACCTGGATCTGGCGATCCTCCATGAGCTGAGCAGCATCTCGTGGCGTCTTTCAGAGCTTCTGGCGGTGACGAGTGCCATGCAACAAAAAGCGGAGAAGTGTCCAGATGGCTTCGCTAGTAGTAACAAGCGCATCGCTACTAGTAACAAGTGCCTTACTAGTAGAAACAAGAAGCTAGTAGAAACAAGTGCCATGCTGTGAGCCGAAGGCGACCCAACAGAATTTGGTGATCAAATCAGCTTACAATGTCTGATGAAAGAGGCTTTGCGCCTGGCGAAGGCTACAGGTCATACTGCCTGTGCTGTTGATGGGACTGCGATCTGTATATTTGCACGACTCTGGTCCACTGGAATCACATTAGTGTTCCTCACTTGTTTTCTACAGCTGACAACTTGGGTTTCTCTACACTTTGGGTTTCTTCTAGGCTTGAAACGCTGGCTACTTGCTCGTTTGCTACAATCGCTTCTCTTTCATGTGTCCTTTCTTTGTCCGGGCATTCTTGTGCACTTGACCGGGGCCTAGCCTAGCAACGACTATGGTGTTGGAAGAGGGACAATTGAGCCTGCCTTTTTTGGGACGCCAACTTCGGAGGAGTACTGTCCACCTCTGGGGACGGACGCTTTGGACCTGAGTGGGTTGTGTTGTGTCAGAACACCTGAGCCTGACCGGTTCTTTCTCCAATGTATGGTAGCCTGTGCTGCTCCAACACCAGCTACATCGTCTGACTGGTAACCCCTGTGTAAGCTTGTCTAAGTCTTGTTGGGCTTCTGCCACAGCCACTGTCGTTCCAAGTGGATTGTCAAAAAGATGAGAGCCACAGAACCAACAAGCCAAAGGAAACAAGACTCCAACAAACAAAACATACAAACAAATCCCAGCCGCAGTGAAAGTCACCAAGCTGCTGGCGTTCCATCCTTCTCAGGTATTACAGAGAAACAACGGTGAGCGCATTGGCCCAGGGTCTTTCACTGGTTTTAGAACTGCTGTACTTTTTTGTGGGGGCATTTTTGCAATCCCTCGAACTGTTGCAGTTCTTACAACTGTGCAGTGATGCGACAACAAAAAATCGCCACTTGCAACATGAGACCTCCCGAGGATTCAACACCTTGGGGTGTCATTGCCTGGCTCATGTCCAGTTTCGCTTGGGTTTAGGTTTAGGCGTTTTGCTTATTCATGGAATGAACGGGTAGCGCACTAACTAGCCGCTAGCCTGGTGGGCCTTTGCAGCTTCACATCACTAAGCGTACTGGTTTGTTGTCTTAGTGAGCGTACTGGTTCAAGAACGTTTACCTGGTCCAGCCTTTGAGGGGACTCCATGTTGTCCAGAATGCAAACTCTCGAGAAACATTACGCCGAAGGAAGAGACCCCACATGCAACCTGGAAGAAACATTACGCTCGGTTTCTGGAGGAACATCGTCTTCCAGTTTGGTCCATGCCATCAGGTTCCATGGAAGACGATCTTCCCGGGTGTATCTCTCCATGTTTGGTCGATTTTCTCGCGCAAACTCCGCTTTCGACGGAACAGGGCCCGGCGGCGACTACCGGGCCAGGGCACTCAGGGCCCAGGGCCAATTGTTGGGTGGTAGGCAGCTCCAGCGAGATACAGCAAAGAGAAAGTGTGACACCAGGGGTTTGTGTAGTAGATTTACTATGATTTACCAATATCGCACGCATATCCCAACAGATAGACATGCCCTTGTTTCAAAAGACCAATAACTTCCACCTGCTGTTACACTATACTTTGGGAGACAAATGCGGAACTGAGGGTTCCAGAGGGATTGCCTCTTGGTTACCACTGGTCATTGCGTTTGTCTCACTGGTCATTGCCTCCCAGCTCCGAATTGCACCATAGCCTTTTTGCAGCAAGTGGCACTCAGACACTGAGACATTGAAATCCCCTCGTGGCCAGGTCCATAAGCTGATCCCGTTTTGTCTCTCAAAATCCAGAGCACTGTTTTCCCAGTTCAAGTTTACGCTGTTTAGGAATAATTAAGAACTGAGCGAACCATCAAAGAACTTTCCCAATCCATGTGTATCTCCACTTACTCATGTCAAGCAGGCCCAGTCAAACCTGATCAAGACCTACAAATTAAGCACTCTATGCCAGTGGGTTTATACTTTTGGGGGGTAGCAATTTTAAATCGAGAACATGTCGAATATGTCATGGCGGCTTGTGCTGACCGTCCATCATGGCCATCTTTTCAAGAGAGCGCCTCTTTCATCGCCTTAACATAATCTCTTGGGAAATCGAATTCTCCTTCCATCATGGCCCTGCGCATCCCCAGGGCTGGCGGAAAAATCTTCGCCGCCGCTCGGAGCTGCCCTCCACGGCCACGGAGCCGCCAGTGGTGCCACCCAAGGCGACAAGTTTGGAGCATTCTTGGGGAGACGGCAGGACCAGCTCTTTGTCTTTATCTTTAATGGTTTTCTAGGCTGTTGTCGTTGTGGTCTGATTTTTTGACCATGCTCTTTGTTGGTGTTGAAACTTGGTTGGAACCATTTCACATCTCATGTTTGTGGTCGCAGACGGAGGAGGGTCTTCCAAGTGGTGTTTAGGATGTGGAAACGGTCAATTCAATATAGAAATGGTAGCTGGTAGCTTGTGCTGAACTGTGCACTAGAAGCATCAGCGACAGCAATCAGAAGGCCATCGATTTTGGGGCGCCTGAGTCAGCCACCGGTCGGAGTTTGGAACCTTCAAGAGATTGAGTTCAAAGGACTTATGTTCACACAAAGCTGAACCGTGTCCAATCCAATCCCAGCCGTTGACCCGGCATGGCCCGCGGCCGTCACTTGCAGGCGACACGGCCCGGCCGGGCAGCCGCCCAGTTGCCAGGGCAGCTAAGTGTCGTTGTCGAAACAAAGCGAGGCGTGGGCCTTGAGGACTAGTAAGGGACTACTTAATTAAGTAAGGGACTAGTCAGCAAGAAGCTACTAGGGGCTCCTGGCCTTACTACTAGGAACAAGAAGCTACTAGGGGCTCTTGGCACCGCTAGTAGGAGCAAGGACGCTACTAGGGGGGACTAGTAAGGCTAGTAGCTACTTAAGCTACTAGTATGGACGCAGGATAGCTCATGCTTCTTCAAGGAAGCTCCCTGAGGGCCGAAGGGAGCTTCCTTGAAGCGTTTGCACTAATCATTTGGTTCCTAGATGTCTAGGGAAACTTAAGGTTTGAGACTACAATCACAGGTCTTTTTGGACCCTATGTGAGCAGAAACACCATGCTTTCGACCCCCCCCCCAAACCTGCCAGTAGCTTGTTCGTTTTGGCCTGTGATTCTATGTGGGAGGATACTGAGGGAGTTAACCATGAAGCAACGGCCAACAAGGCAGACGGAATGCAAATTAGCATGATGTTTGCCAGCAAGGATCCAGCATCAGAACCATCAATGTGGCTAGCTATAGCTTGCTTCGCCGGATGGTCAGACTGCCGCCGACATGAGAGTTTAAGAACAGTTTGGATGAGGATCCGAAAACTGCCTTGCCTGACTTGCCTCCATCAACCGCAGCCTTTCCAGCTATCGATTCAAGCAGACAACCGAAGCGTGGGCATTGCGTGGGTTTAGAAGTATGGTGTTTTGTTACATGGCCTCAGATGTTCCAAATAGCTTCCAGCTCGTGAGACCGAGCCCCAAAATGTGGAGTCACAGACTCCAGCGCTCCACTCCAAGGATTCAAGAAAGACGATGTGTTAGTTCAAGAACTAGCAAATGAATGTAATTGAACGGCTACCTGAAGCATGACTTGGAGATGCCCCCACATCTTAGGCAGGACTCATTCACCATCAAGAAAGAGTTCTCTTTGCATCTCTTTGCTGCACTTTGGATTTGCAACCAACTTTTTCCTGTGATTCTGCAAAGACTTGGATCGCTTTGGATGAAGTGCGAGAACTTTTCAACCCATCACCACGCTGTTCTTCGATTAGTGCACGATCCGAGAAGTCTTCCCTTCGGCCGTACGCCGCCATGGAGATCCTGAAAAGGGTGCCGTTGAAGCTTGTTCTACCAGGTGAGGTCGGGGGTCCTTGATGAGCATTCCACACAGCACAACAGATGGATCTTCCACCATTCCCAAGTGCTCTTAGATCAGCCAAGTACTTCACCACATAGTGAGAGGTACTTGGCTTGAGAGGCACATGTTCCAAGTACTTCTTTGTGACCACCCAGCAGGATCAGGATCAGGATCACTCGCAGAAGATACTCCTCTGTGCAGGTGCAACACAAAGAGACAGCGTTTGGCTGAGGAGTCAGCAGGCGAGTCAGCAGGCGTGATGGTGTGATGTTGCGCAGGAGTGGTGGTGTCTCATTCCTGCTTCCAGACCCTTAGTCAGTGGGGTCCCACCTCTCTTTTTCCACATCGAGCTATATCCGCCAGCGCTAGCTGCTAGCTTCATCTAGCTTCTAGCTTTCCTTTTACCTCATGGGTGGCAAGCCGAGCTGCCTTAGCTCGACAATGGATGCTGCAACAACCTAGCTAAGCTGGCTATGTTTCATGAAGCGGCTAGGGTGTTGCCGCGTTGTAAGACCCAAACCTCAGCGGGGTGTCCACAAACAAGACACTCGCACCATCTGAACTCCTCTCACCACCCTGAGTTAGGTCGTGCACCCGCCTCTGCCGACCAGGCCTCATTTGCGGACTGTGCACGGTGGTGCAGGGGTGGCGCTCCTGCCGTTGCTTCTGGACTGGTGGCGCTCATGGGGTTCCACCCGAGGTGGGTGCAAGGGTTGAAGTCTCAAATTGATTGAATCTTCAGACTGATGAAACTATGAGACAGATGCAAAACTATAAATGAACTGTTGTTCTCAGGAGTTTCAGCTAAGATTGTTGATTTTTCTGGAAGGCGATAGGGGACTGGGGACTGCCAAAAAAACGAGAGAGTTGCAGAAGAGTGCTAAACCTTGGAAAATGATGGGGGACTGTCTAATTTGAAAACGAATGCAGCCCACATAAGACAAAATGCGTGTAGCTCATGTCCGACATTATCCAACCAATGTTTTAAACAATGTTTTGAACTGAATTTTGCCACTGCGATGCTTTCCCTGGGGTTGAAATTGATCTATGAGTTTTGCCTGCTTGTGTTGTTCCGCATCATCCTCGGCTCTCTCTTCAATAGGACATGCCGCCGGCGTGGACCGCAGACCAAAGCGCCCCGACGAGCGATCATGTGGGATGATGAAGAGCTGGAGCCTTTGGCAGAGATCACTCAGAAGGTGGACCTGAAACAACATGAAACGTGTGCTTGAAGCATACTGCATACTGCATTCTTTCGAACAAAATGGACCATCTCAAAATACAAAAGACCCCAAAGCTTCATAGCCATACTTGAAGATCGAAGAAGCATTTTGATGGATCTTTAAGAGTTTAGAGGGGCAAAGACCTCTGCAGGTCTATCTGGATGTCACCAGCGATAGATTCCAAGGCCGCATTGTGCCATGGCAGGGAGAATCATGGAGAATCGATCGTCACCGCTCGACTTTTTCACTTGTGTCTACCCAGGGAGCTGTTTTTGTTGGTAAAATCATGTAAAATCTAGATTGATGTTAGCCGAATGGGACTGGAGTGACTATAGCAACTACACACAACTGAGATCAACTATAACTGAGTGTTTAGATTATATAATGTTCCTCGTTAGAACACATTTGGCTTTATTTCTGGAGGGGTTCAACCATTAAACATGGAACCTGTTTCAACCACGGGTTGGTCTGGCTGGTCGAGGACAATCATCAAAACCAGCCATGGTGTTCCTCACTAAATAGGTTATATTATATCCGTCCTATAGAACTTTTGTGGATCCTCTGAATCATCATCAAACATCAATAGCTCCTAATTACGAAGACTCCACCAATGGATGATCTACATCCCGACTTGGCTTACAGCGGCATTATGCGGCTTTATGCCCCAAGACGACCGTTCTTTCGTTCCAAACGGTGCCACCGGGGCTGCGCGTCCCGAGGTCCTTGGCCTTTATGCCGCCACGGTGCCAAAGGCCGCGGAGAACTTCCGGGTGCCGTCTGCCAAAGACCGGGGGGGAGGATCTGTGGTAAACTCCAAGATGTCCCGAAATAAGTGTTAGATAGGAAGGATGGAAGGTGACATCCAATGTTGTTTTGCTTTTTGGGTGGATTTACTGTCTTCTTCCATTCTATTTTGGGATGGCCGCCTAATCTTTTGCAAGCCCCACTGTTTTTGCGCTTTTTCCAGGCCCTAAACCATGGCATGGGAGTGCGCCTTCCAACTGGGTGGTGGACCAGATATATTTATACAGTATATATATAACTTATATAACCCAGATGTTGGTGACGAATGATCTTTCTGACCCGGATCCACGGGTCTATTTTTTTCTGGTAGTATGTTATTTGAAGAAATCAGCACTTCTCCCATCGGATTGGCCATGTGGATCTGCCGTCCAGTTTTAGGTCCAGTCTATCAACCTCAGCGGAAAATGGTTCACCCACATGAACTCATAGTGAACCGATAGATCCTCATGATCCTCTGGGTTTAGAGGATGTTGTTTTTGGGATTTGCTTTGTTCCACCCGAGGCGCTTTGCACCGGGGAGAAGGGCTTCTCCTACGTTGGCAGCTGTTTTCATCGGATTTTTTGGGACTTCATGGCGCAAGGCGAGACATGGCGGGCATTGGGAGAGTGCCAGAATAAGGAGTTGTGACGTTTTGTGACCTGTTCGTGTCTAGTGATGAGTCATTAAAAGTCTCCTGTAAGTGCTTGATGGTGTCCAATGCACCACTGTTGATCAGCCAAGTGATCAGGGAATACATGGAAGGACTAGAATTAAACATGTTTTTATGAAGCCAACACTTGCTGCAGAACCACCAGTGGAAGTGGAACGCATTGAAAATGAGGGATAAGGCGAAGCATGGTGAAGCATTTTTGGAACGAACAACCGACGACACCTCGTTGCAAAACAAGGTCAACAGAGCAAACATTAAATGAACCAGAAGTACAGTACCAAACCTCTGGCCTGACTGCAGTTGATTATCCAATAAAGCACTTGCAGCGACATGTCCAGGGGCCCCGGAAGGTCAAGAATCAGCAAGGTACCGATGTCACCCGTAGGTCGTCTAAGACGTGTCCTGAAGGAGTCAAACGACTGGTCCGACCTTCTTCGGTTTATTTTTGAGTGCACTTTTCTTTTTGTGGAGATAGTTGTAGGATTTTGCAGTTGCTGCCACGGAGATGTTTATAGGGAGAGTGTCAGTTGGATGCCCAGTTGGTGATGATGTGTCACAATGGCTTAAGGTCGGTGGTCTGTACAAATTGGGGTGGTGCAGGATTTCTTCCGCAAACAATCCTTGTTGGATGAGACAGCCAACCGAGCTTTGGGTGTGGCAGAGGTGGCAAGATTGAAGGGCATCAGAGCACCTTGGAGTAATGGCGTTTTGGTGCAGGTGATGGGAGGTGCATGAACATAGGACAATCCCAAGTCAGGTCATGATACTGGAACTTTAGATTTGATCTATAGTTAAATAGACAACCCAGACATATTCCCTTGAAAAGTGAGGAGCCCACGACCAATAGATCTTGTGGTGTCGCTTCTTGTCACAACCACTGGGTGCTGGCGTATTTGCACTTCTAGAAGGAGTGCAGCTGGGGTTGGGTCCATCACTTTGAGACAGGACCGGGATTCTTCTGAATCTATATTGAATTTCTATCAATTTCCATGACTTCAGCATTTCTGGCTTGAGTCACGTCGTTCAGATTCATAGTGTTCGCTGTTCGCTCATATTTGGCCGCTGTGCTGGTTATTGTAATGCCCTTCGGACTGAGCCATGTGGAGATACTGTTCCTTTGCATTCCCACAGTCTCCACAATAGC